AAGATAAAATAAACAAGTTCCAAATTTCTGCACCAACCCTGCTTGGTTATATGGTGGATGAAGAAGAGCAGAAGCTACAGCTGTGTGGTAGATTGTATGTTTTGTATGCAGACGTTTTGACTGTTGGATTGCCCAGTATAAGGCAAGATGACAAGTACAAGTTACGTTGTTGTTCTGGAGAATTCTGGAGACCAGCTGCGGTCTTGCAATGAAAGATATATCTGAATCAACTTATACATAGAAAGTTACCTATATGCTACATTTCAGTGATATCTTCTGCTTCTTTTGAAACTTGAAAGGCTAATATTACTGGATTCAGCTCCAGTTAATCCTATGCAAATCAAAAATGAGCTTCAACAACTTCTTATGTCTTATGACCACAGCTAGGTTTCACGGAATAAAGCAGCCTATTCATTTCTGCCCATTGAATGGATTCTCACCAAAGCTTACATTTTAAAAGGAAAAATAAAACTGCAGTATACTCATTAAATATTGCTTATTTAATATTTAAGGCTATTAAATATTTAAGGCTATTGCTAAACGCATTGTAAACTGCCCTGAGTCTCCGGAAAAGGGCGGCATATAAATCGAACCAATAAATAAATAAAATATACTCTAGTGGTATGTAACCCTTGCTTTTAGCACTGAAAGTGTTTTAGAACAAACCTGCACCTTGGACATGTGTGTGTGTGTGTGTGTGTGTGTGTGTGTGTGTGTGTGTGGTTATGTGTGTGTGTGTATGGTGCTTGTGTGTGTGTGGTGTTTGTATGTGTATTATCTATGGTTGATTTAATGAACCTTGATTGCTATGAATCAAAGACTTTCTGTGCTCTGGCTATGGGCTTTTCAGAGATAACAATAACACTTAGACTTATATACCGCTTCACAGTGCTTTACAAACCTCTCTAAGTGGTTTACAGAGTCAGCCTGTTGCCTCAATCTGGGTCCTCAATTTCCCAAACTTGGAAGGATGGAAGGCTGAGTCAACCTTGAGCTGGTGAGGATCAAACCTCTGGCAGTCAGCAGAGTTAGCCTGCCATACTGCATTCTAACCACTGTGCCACCATGGCTCAGTCAAGATATTTAAGAAGCTGGATTAGGTAGGTTTTTGGTTTGGTACCAAAGAATCTCTTGCTATAGGTTGAAATTGATGCCTTTAAAAGACACTGAGCAATGGGAGAAACAATGATGTCAGGTTGGGAAAAGATGAATTTTCTGGACATTTTATAATGCTGTGAATGAGGGAGTGACAGAAAAAAACCCGACACATTTTTCCACTGTTTATAATCTGGATATGAACTGTAAGTAGCTAGCAGATTAGCGAAGTGTAAATCTATCTCAGATAATCCAGTTTACTGCGTGCAAATTAGTTTTCTTTCTATTCTGTAAGTGGTTTAAAAGTTGTGTCCACTATACTATACAGTATTCCAAAATATTACAGTCCAACATTTTCCAATTAAGGGTTTACAAACAATTGGAAATCCAAACAAGGCATATAACTACATTTGAATTATCTAACAGGTCAATATACTTAGGTGGAAGAAAATGTCTTCTTATGCCTGATGAACATGGGGCTCATTAATTCAGTGTGTCTGGAGCAGTCTGTGTGGGCCTTCAACAAACCATGCTTAATTTGCACAAACACGCAGATCACCCGCTGTCACAGCATCTGTGAAGCTTTTATCTGGAATACATTTAACACTTATGATGAACATTTCTTCATTGTCAGTGTATTATGCATGCATGCAACAACGTGGTTATTGGGTATTCCAACATTCTGTTTAAAAATATTAGTTCAGCTTTCAAAATATTATTTTGGCTGGACAGGTGCATTCATTGAAACAGCTACGAGGTGATGTTTTACCAATGGATTAGTTGAGTGTTCCTTGGACCATATTCATCCTTGAAAGGATACTGGGACTTACCCAATGCACTTCCACTATTGTCTTCATTTTTAACCTCTTCTTGAGAGGCTTTCTTATCAACTTTCCAGAGTAGGAAAGGGAGGATTAAGATTAATGTTAATATTAACAGGAAAGAAAGGGACATGGCCCTTTGCTAATTAGAAAATTCTCCTAGGGATTTCTTGAACTTGCAGTTTTCTTGGAAACAGGACATCAGAAATAGTTTGCTGTTGCCCCTCCCCTAGATGTTTTTTGACATCCCAATCTCATCTACAGCTCTGGAGTTCCCTGATAGCAGCGCCCCCCCTCCCTTTCACACTCACCTTTGCCTGTTTTCTGTCTTCTGGCTTTGAAGAAAGAATTAAAATTTCATTATGTAAACATAGATTTACACCAGATAGACAAGGGAGGGTGAGATATTTTTTTTAGTAGAAAAGAGGAGAGAGAAAATATTTGTCAGGCATTCAAGAGTCCTTTATGTAAAGAGTAGTTCACACGGCCTGTTTCTTCTCCTGGTCTACCTCAAAAGGCTGGCAGTTTGTGCATTTGGAATAGATGAGGCAGGTGTTACCACTTACTATGGCTGTTCTCAATTGATATAGAAAATAACACAAAGGATTTCATTTGCAGCCCAGGGGTGGGTTTCACTTACCTTTGTTACTGGTTCGCTTACTTCGCTCTCACACGCGCCCCATCTACACATGCGCAGAAGCTTCTGCGCATGCACATATCATATTTGATGACGTCTGGGCAGGTGGGCGGAGCCTCCAGCTGCCGCTGCTACCGGTTCACCCAAACTGGGGCGAACCAGTAGCAACCCACAACTGCTGCAGCCTAATCACATTCATATTTCTCAGTATATTTGGATTCTAGATTATCCAGAGGAGATACATTCTGGAGCATGGTACTTGTGTGCTCCTATTAGTTTTTCCTATACACACATGGAAGGCAAATGATAAAGGAAGATCAAGTGAACAAAGCAAGTTTAGCAAATTTGAAATATTAAAATACAATTGAATACTAAAAAAACTAAAAAGACAAAAAAGAATAAAAATGGCTGGAAGAAAAATAAAAATAATAATCTTGTTTTCTGACACATTTAATTGTGAAATACAAAAAAATACAAGCACGGAAGGATACCGGTAACTATATTTTCCCCACATGTTAATTTGATGTTTATATCTGATAAAGCACTATCTGCACTGAAATCAACAAACTGGATCCCAGGTAGTTTTAAAGGACTAAACCACCACCAATGACTCTTGGGTCATTGCTTCAGAGATATTTCCATACCTAAACAGAGAAACAGAATGACCAGGAGCAGGCAAAAAAAAATCAGTCAGAGAGGAAGTAGCTTCTGACTTTCAGTCAACTTCCCCGTTGAGTTTCTTTGTGGAAAGCTCACAGTGAGCATCAAATTCTTCCTTTCTTCCTTCCTTCCATCCTTCCCCCCTCCCTCCCTTCCCCAAGGAGAGTTACAAAGTATCAAACAGACACAAGAGTTTTAATAGTTTACCTCATGACATCAAATACATTTTCTTATTGCTTTTATTGCAGTATATAGATACATGCCATTAATGGTGAAAAACATAGCTTGTTAGGCAGAACTCCTGCTAATGGGGGAGGGGGCTAAATCTCTCTAATTCTATGAAACTCTGGTTTATTTTATCAACAGGATTATTTTTAAGTCACATCTTGCTGGCTGCGGAATTCTGGGAGTTAAAGTTTACATATCCTAAAGTTCCCAAGTACAGAAAACACTGGTTTTGTGTAGTCAGGGTATTTAAGATGGTTTCTACTCTGAATCTGATATTGTGTTTATGGTCCTGATGTGACACAAATATAAGTCCTAATTCAAATTTTTCCAGTTTGGTGAATGTGTGATCCTTAAATAATGCCAGGCATACTAAGAAGATATTTATGTCATCCTATATCCTGTTTATCACAAGCTATTTAGGCAACTTGGTGCTGTCCAGATATTTTGGATTGACACTTCCTTATCCTTAACCCATGGTCAGAGTGATTCAATGGACATAGAATATTTTTTTCCCCCAGAATTTGTCTCACCCCCTTCCTTCTCTTTTAAAAAGTCAACAGCATTTCCTTTTTAATAAGAACAATAAAAGATCCTCCTATTTTAATATGTTATGTCATCCTTTCATTCAAAGGGGTTTAATTACAGGATCAAGAAGGTTTGCAAGTTTGAACTCTGAGAACACAAGAATAGTGAGTGAAGTTTTCAAACCCACAAACTCTGTGAGGTTCTCCCACCCTTAGTCTGGAACAACAAAAAGATGAATGTACAAGAAATGTCTGTTAAGGGTTTTTGATCATCTGCAACTGGTTATTCCATAATATAGTCCTCTAACAAATGGCATTGCCCCCAGAAGTCTGCTTTGTTAAAAGGGCTGTACTTGCTACAGCTGCTGCATCTATTTCATTACATCTTTGCATCAGTTTTCAAAAGGATTGTCCTATAAAACATTAATTATCCAAATCTTAAAATTAAATACTTTTTCTGATGACCAATTCACACACGCCACTTCTTTGTATAATCTTCCAACTTTTCAGCAAAGACAGAGCTTGTCTCCAAGATTATTCCACAATACACAGATTCTTGCATTGACCTAGTTATGTGTAATGGGAGAAGAAAGTCAACCCAATTGATTCCAATTGATTGGCTGCAATGCTCACAAGCAATTTGGGAAAGGGGTCTCATATCTCTCTTGCAGGATGTTTGTGTGTTGAAATAGGACTGTCTACTAAGAGTTTGAATGCTGAACCAGTCTGATCTTATATTTTTAATCTACAAAAATTAGCAACATAAATTTTCCATGGCTGGAGTCAAACATGTTTATCTACTTCACCCACAAGGCACATTGTTGATCTCCCATGCCTACTTACAAAGGCATTTGAAAGCTGCCAATGCTTTCATTAAATGTTAAAAGCAGTATTGCCGCTATATGCTGCAAACTCTATGTCTTTTATGCATGCATGTGATGATGCAATGCATGAAGAAAAGGGAGGGGCTTGTGTTGCAATGGCACAACACCACTTGACATCACCCTACCTCTTTTTGTCCCTCTGCAGAGGTTGCTGCCTACTTAGCCAATAAATCTAATACTTATCTGAAAGATGGATGCAGAACATCCAACATCCTTAAACCCAGTTTGGAACATCCGGAGAATCACCTTTGGGGTAAGTGGACATGGAAGAAAAGAGTTCTCAAAACTTGATTCAGTGCCAGGTTTTGCTTGCCGTGGTGTCAAATGAAGGGAGATGAGAAGCAGGAAGAAGCTGGTTTTGATAATGACATAATATTTATAAACATCCTTCTCAGAAAGAAAACTTCATTCTGTCATCTTTATGAACTTTTCAGCACTGTCTATAAAATTGTACCTATTTAGTACATAAGTCTCCTAGCCTGAGTTTCTCTGTTAGAGAAACTTGTGTTTTAGTTAAAATAGTTTTCTTTACTGAGGTAGAATTTTCACTGTTGAATTGATAGGTTGCCACTGTTAAATTGCTGCAGAAGCAGCAATTTAAGTTAACAAACAAAATTATCAAAAAAATAATTTTTAAAAAAGAACTTCAGAGGCAGGTTAAATGCTGACCACATATTATTTAATAAATCTGACCTCAGATTTATTAAGCTAGTTATTTATGTTTGTTTGTTTGTTTGTTTATGTTTTATTAAATTTGTATACCGCCCTACTCCTGAAGGACTCAGGGTGATGAACAGGCACAGAGTAAAATACAGAAATACAAAAGTTAGAAACAATTTAAAACCAAATTAAATAATTTAGCCCAAGACAATTAAAAATCCCAATAATTTAAAACAAATTAAAATTTCAGTTTAAAAATTTAAAAGAAAGGGGAGAAAATTAGGCCAGGCCGGCTTGCTGGAATAGGAGGGTCTTAAGAGCACGGCGGAAAGTGCGCAGATCCAGGATCCTCCGTATCTCCGGGGGGAGCTCGTTCCAGATAGTGGGTGCCCCCACAGAGAAGGCCCTCCCCCTGGGGGTCACCAGTCAACACTGCTTGGCTGACAGCACCTGGAGGAGCCCCTCTCTATGAGAGCGTACCGGCCAGTGGGACGCTGTTTGTGGTAGTAGGCGGTCCCATAAATAACCAGGTCCTAAGCCATGGAACGCTCTAAAGGTGGTAACCAAAACCTTGAAGCGCACCCGGAAGACCACCAGGAGCCAGTGCAGCTCGCGCAGGAGAGGTATCACACGGGAGCGCCATGCTGCTCCCATAACCACCTGCGCGGCCGCACTCTGCGCTAGTTGGAGGCTCCGGGTGCTCCTCAAGGGGAGCTCCATGTAGAGAGCATTACAATAGTCCAGGCGGGAGGTGACGAGGGCATGAGTGACTGTGTGTATGGAGTCCCAATCTAGAAAGGGACTGGTTTATGGTTTACTTTTCTACTTCATGGACCTTGTAGTGAATCAATGGATTATATTTTACAATGTAGCTAAAGAACTAGTATAACAGCTTAAAGAAAAAGTTGTGATTTGTACTGTCTGGAAGAAATCCCCTCTCAGTCAGAATTTCTGTAGGCCAGCCTTAGCAAGTGACCAATAGTCTTATTTACAAAAATGGACAATGATTCTGGTTTACCTGAGAAGATTGATATTATCCTATTGAGATAAAAATAAATGAATCCATCACAATAGGTGTCACTGATCATATTATTCATGTGCATAGTTTTCTAAATAGACACTTTTTTTTTTTTTACTTGCCTTCTAAATAGGATCTTGAGTGACTAGAGCAGGGTTGTCAAACTGGGTGGCCCACAGGCCGGATACGTCACACACAGGCCACGCCTACCCCAGTTCCAGGAAGGCAAAAAACATTGTGATACGTCACATGACATCAACGTGACATGGTGAGTTTGACACCCATGGACATATAAAAAATATATGTCTAATATTTTTTAAAATATCTCCAAGCATCATTTGCATTATTTCTGCCAGGGAATAATAAAGTATTAATGTATTAAAGTAATAATGTAAAGTATTAATACCGTAGCTAGCTGTAAGAAAACAATATACCAAACAAAAATCATACCCAAGCAATGAATATACAAAGCAACAACAAAATACAGAATCTCAAGTAAAGGGAATTAATGTCTTTTCAATGAAAACTAATGATTTCATGCTGTGCCTAGCTATTGTCATAAGAAGAAGTCCTTTATGATTTTATCCATGAAAGACCCACTGAATATGTTATGTCGAAGTTCTAAGGCCGCAATGCACTCTAACCTTAGAGCAACTAAAGTTACTGATGATGAGAAGCAGAACAGCAACCAAAAACCCATGTTTATTAAGGCTGCTTGAAACAAAACACAGCAAAAACAACCAGTTTTCAACACTAAAAGTTAACTTTGCCAAATCATAGAAAGTGTGGTACATTTCAAAGCTTATTAAATGGGATCAAACAATTCCATTTTACTTACTTGAATTACTTTTTGATTGCCACCTTACAGCTGAAATTCTTTGGACAATTCACAAAATTGAGGTTGAAACCCCCCAAAAAGAATAAAACATGTTAAAAACAACCTCAAAAGACAATCTGAGAAAAGCAAACAGTGAAAAACAACAGCTGCAGGAGTAACTTAGAAAAATATTAACATATTTTGAAAACCAAAGTATAAACTCTGGAAAAAATAACCTCTTCCTCCAAGTAACACAAGGCTCTGATATTGCTTAGCATTGCCAAATCAGTCAAAGTTGGTTAGATAAAATAGAATTCTTTATTAGCCAAGTATATTTGGACACACAAGAAATTTGTCTCCGGTGCATAAACTCTCAGTGTACATACAAGCAATAAGTGATAAATCATTATCATAGTCATCGTAAAAATACATTCATCTTAATCATAAAATACAACACTTAATGACAGTCATAGGATACTAAATAAGCAATCAACATAAATGATACTAGGGTACTCAATAAAACAATAGAAATTGTAAAATACAAGCAACAAAGTTATAAGAAGATAAGGAGATAGATAATAAGAAAGATGAGAAAAATAATAGTAATATAGCCTTACTAGATAGTTTGATAGTGTTGTGGGAATTAGTTGTTTAATACCTAAATATTACACTTTTTCAAATTAGTACTGTTAATTCTGGAGATCTCATTTGCCCAAACAGTCTGGAATTGGCCCTGAGTAGAGCCATTTTTGGATTATCAATCAAATTGGGATACAATCACACTTCTCTGCTGTTCTTGCTCTTCCCAATTATCCATTCAGTAGTATACCAGAAGATATTGCAATTATAGTAAATTAATGTTACAATACGAAGAGAGGCCAGGATACAAATAGTAAAACAACTGAATACTTACAAACTGTTTGATGGGAGCTTGTTTTGCATCAGAAAAATAACAACACATATGCTATGTCACTCTAGATGGATTTCCATAGTTAGTTCTTTTAAAATTATTTTAAGTAGTCATATTATACTTGGTTGATTAATATGGGTTTTTTTGGTCTATGATTATATTTTAATACATTAAATCTTAATTATATCCTCCTTGCACCACTTATTATGTTGTAATTGTTTAATTGTGTTTATTTTAAAAGTTATTCTGTAACCTCCAAAGGGAACTCTTCTCATTGGGCAGCTTAGAAATATTACAAACTAATAACCTTCATTGGAACCTCTTTCTTATAGCATTCCTCAGTTCTGAAGCACAGGAAACAGTTCTTCACATAGAGTTTGAAGCTGTTGGGCCAAACTTGATACCTGCTTTGCAGGACTCTGCTTAGAAACCAAACTATGGCTTTGCTTATTTCATCTCTGATGGTCTATTGTTTCATATTTAAAACTTCCCTACAGCAATGATATAAACATATTCCACCCAGAACAAATGAAAACCCTTATGGGACAGCTAAAGTCTATGGTGTTTCCCAATGTGGATGATATAAACATCAATCAGGACAAAGGTTAGGGATAAATTTTTAGCCAATTAAATCAGCAGCACATAAATTTCCAGGTAAGGAAGAGATTGTCCTGAAAAATAACAAGAGACTTGAGGGAATAATATTACAGTGTTTTTAAATAGAAGCTGTGGTTTCTCTTAACGTCAGCAGGCATTGTATTTATGAGTCAAAGAAACAGGTCTGTAGATCTTAGAATTAAAAATGAAAAGGCTTGAGAAGTTATCATTGATCTAATTATACCTCAGCCAAATTGAATCTCTTTGTTGAAATTCACAAATATATAAATACCAGGAAGCTTTGAAAGACTTGCAGGAGACACTCATTTAACTTTAAACTGTCTGAAGAAGGAAAGATCAAACGAAGCCTTGAAAAATAGCAATGGTAGGCCAGAAATTTATAAACAAGAGGTTTATAAATAGTCATGGTACTGAAAACCATGTTCCCATTTTCAGAAGAGTTTCGCAATGCAATATTTAACATTCTTCATCGCTCTTATGGAATTATGGAACTTTTAATTGGAGGTGAAAATTATAATCTATGCAAAAGATTATTCCCCACCAATTGTGTTTTTAATGCTTTACATTTAAACAGCTGCCCATCAACTCCAAGATACAAGACAGGAATACTGCAGTTAATCACTAGACCATTATTACTTGGCTTTAGGGTACCATTTGTACATTATAGTTACATGGTACATGCTAATTGTAGTTGTACATGGATTTACAGTCCATATGTAGTGACTCTGGAAATCTCCCAGGTAGCAAAGCTTGAACAGTAGAGCTTAATGATATGGGCAATTGTAAATCCATGATATGGATCCAATTGTTACAACCCATTTCCTTGTGAGTCAGAACTCATGCAGTTCCCATGCACTTTGCAAAATATCCACCACTTGTGTGTCAAGCCAATGTCCTATGACCGTGATGGCGAACCTATGGTATGTATGCAACAGGTCGCACACGGAGCCATATCTGTGGGCACGCGAGCATTGCCCTAGCTCAGCTCCAGCGTGCATGTGCTGGCCAGCTGATTTTCGGGCCTTCCGAGCCCACTGGAAGTTAGGAAACGGGCCGTTTCTGGCTTCCGGAGGGCCTCTGGGGATGGTGGGGAAGGCCATTTTCACCATCCCCAGGCTCCAAGAAAGCTTCTGGAGCCTGGGGAGAATGAAAAACGGGCCTACAGAGTCCACCAGTAACCTTTTTGCCATCACGTGCCAAAATGGGGGGAGCGTAGGGAGGGCGTGTGTGCATGCGTGGGGGGCAGGACACAGGGGGGCATTGGATTATTGGGGTGGGTATGGGTACCCACGACCCACCCCCACACTCCCCCCACTTTTGGCACACGATGGCAAAAAGGTTAGCCATCACTGTCCTATGAAGTAAATATTAGCACCACTCATTGGACTATGAATAAATGTTAACATTTTAAGAATATCTACTGTATATGGAAAATGCCTTCATTTCCTCTTCATAACAGCCTTTTAAAAGTTTTTTTAAAAAATATTTCTTTTTGATACATTGACTCTAACCAAAGTAGCACAGAAAAATTTGCACATGTTTCAATATCAACAGGCAATGTTTAATGAAGATATACTGTACTCTTGGCAGTACCGGGTAGAAGTGGTCAAGTTATGTCTTTTCTTTTTTAATGTCTTTTCTAGATAAGGAAAGGATTGAGAAAACACAAGAAGGTAGCACCGTTTCAGTCTAACAAATTATAATTAATAATTTAATAATTATTTTTATTACTAGCACAAGCTTTTGGTGAACTACAGCTCACTTCATCAGGTGGATAGAGTGGTTAAAACAATATAAGATTTACACTGATATGTAGCAAGAGAGTGACAGGGTAACACAGGGTAGTTATGCATATTAATTTTAATCCCACAAGTCTGCATATTGTTCCATCATTTCTATTGTGTTGATTTAGATGTCAGTGTTTCAGTATTTAAATCTCAATTTTGAAAACCATGAACATTCTGTCAAATCACAGTGATTACAGAACATTTTCTTCCTGATCTTCTTGAATGGGGCTGTGATGTTAGGAGACTTTAAGATATGGCACATATGTTGCTATATTTAAATCCTCTATGTAGAAATCTATCAATCCCTTATTGTAGCTTTCATAACATTTGCATTATAATAAATCACTATATAAGGATGTTTAAAGACAATTATAAACAGAGAGTGGTTTTATTATTTGACAACAGTGACAGAAACATTAATAATTTAAGATGTTGTGTTTAACATATCCTTTGAATCATGAGATATAAAAAGAAACAAGATATTAAAAGAAACAGATTTCACAATCATTAACTGTAATCCCCACCTGATTCTTATTTCAGATCCAATCAAATATCTGGATAAATTTATTATCCAGTAAAGCAGGCAGGCTTAAGTTCATTAAAATCTTTCTTTAAAATATACCTCAGCCCAGTTGTAGTAAGCAAATATAAGGCTATAAATTTTCATATAGTCCTTTCAAAAGGAAGCATATGAAGCTTTGAATATTTGAATGAAGAGTTTCTTAGTTTGTCATACATCTTAACCTTTCAGTTATGACTTCAGGAGTTCAAACCTACTTTTTGTTACTTGATCAACAAATAGTAGTCAGTGAATATCCATAGGTCCATGTTTCTGAATTTGCTTGAATGAATTTCAAATGTGAGACACCAGAATTGGGTACACCAGTGTCACCTTGTTTTGATGCACCTAGAAAATAAAATTTCAATTTCAATTTCAATTTAATTCAATTTATATGCCGAAGACTCAGGGCAGCTCACAATACATTTAAAATCCTAATAAAAACCATTTAAAAATTAAAACCATTAAAAACATTAAAACTCATTCATACCATTCATGGGTGGATCTCACTGGATCGCAAGAGCGCCCCAGGCCTGCCAGAAAAGCCAGGTCTTCACCGCTTCTTGGAAGGCCAATAGGGTGGGGATGGTCCGGACCTCAGGAGGTAACTGGTTCCAGAGAGCTGGGGCAGCCACAGAGAAGGCCCTCCCCCGCGGGCCCTCCAGCCGGCATTGTTTAGCTGACGGGGGAGGAGGAGACCAATCTGTGGGACCTTACCGGTCGCTGGGAGCTATGCGGTAGAAGGCGGTCTCGAAGATACCCTTGCCCTGAGCCATGTAGGGCTTTAAAGGTAATACCCAACACCTTGAATTGTGACCGGAGACCAATAGGGAGCTAGTGCAGCTCGCGGAGAATTGGTGTAATGTGGATGTACCTAGGTGCACCCACGACAGCTCGCGCGGCTGTGTTCTGGACCAACTGTAGTCCAGAACACAGAAATGGCAGTAGTTCAAGGTCATTTGTTATCCATCCAATTAATCTACTGCCTAAAATCTTTATGGACTCTAGAGATAACATGGATGGAAAAAAACAAAGGATGAGAACAGTCTAAATCTTCAAATTCTTCTCTATAATAATTATGAATCAAGTATCACATGTATAGTTTTGCCTTCGGGAAGTCTCAAAGGTAATTAAAATGTAACTTTGATTTAATCTATGAAAATTCATCATATAAAATTCATCACATAGATTGGAACTCAACTCTACTTCCTGGCATCTCTTTCCTCTTTTAGCTAGTCGAGCACTGTACTACTTTAGCAATTGGATATCTTCATTTGCTACTGAAATTTCCCAAAATTAAAATAAACCTTATGGGGAAGTAAAAGCTATCTGAGTTAAAACAATTTTCTTTATGTACCACTAGATGATTGAGGTTTGTGGTTGTTGGGTCTTTTTTTTAAAAAGTGGCCTAATAAGACTTAAATAGATTACAATTACTGCATCATTATATATTTGGTCCTCAGAAATTACTCATATAATACAAGAATAGTAGGACTGGACTGCTGACTACTTTGAATCCCTCTGTTAAGGGTGTAGTGATACTGTGGCATAAAACCACACCCAACAGGTGTTGCCTAAGTTTGCTTATGAAGCACCTTGAGAGATTCAGCAAAATATTGTGACACTAAGAGCTGGTTTCTATAGAATCTTTCTGAGTAAAACACAGAGCAATGAGCTAACCAAAGTTCTACAATGAAGCCAAAACCCAAAACAATTGATAAAATCCACAAATTTAATTTTGAAGAATTAAGAAATAAGTTTGGGAACTATACATAACCATAATAAAATAATGTGTTTGGAAATGGGCTTTCTTAAGACCCTAAGAGATGTCTAAGGAAAAGTTCTGCTGAGACTTTTGTTTTATTGCCCTTCATTCAAAGGCAGTTTGCAAATAGTTTATCTATTAAATGTAATGGTTTTTCAGTGTATTCAGTGATATAAATTCATGTCTAATAGTCTTTGAAATGTGGAGTGGTGTTTTTTTCCTCACAGTGATCAATTAACCAATTATTCTTATTTCTGAACTAGAAGTGTTGAAAACTGGGGGAAGGGGGAAGTAGGCCTGTATGGAGCTTGGCTCACAATCACTGGCAATTCATAGCAAATGAGAACTAGAAGCTATTATGCAGCAAGTACAAAAACAATGACTATAAACAGATAGTATCACCTCTCAGACATTGTAGCCCAACTTTTTTCTGATTTCCATATGAAATGGCAGAGATATTACTATTTCATATTAGTACCAAGGCATCAGAGAAGCTAATTCTAATTCCAAACTAGAAGATTAAGTTGAAAATTAAATTCTATGGTACTTAAATTAGTTAATTCATGATAAAATGTATACTTCCTGGAAGCTGTGCTGTGAGCTTCTCAATGCTTAGTGATTTTTAAAAAAACACATTGGTAGGATTTGCAATGGGTGGGAGGAGGAATAAAAGTAAACCAGAGAAATTGGAGAGTGGTATATTTTGCGTCAATAATCATCCCAATATGGGGTATAATAAATCTCAAACATATTGACCTTTGCTTTTGCTACTGTCTTTAAAAGGAATCTGACGATAATACTCTATCCCTATTAATGTGGCTTTCACAGTCCTACAATACAATGTAAGTATCTTCACTGTAAGCTTCCTAGAGTCATTAGGAGTCAACCAGCCTATAAAGTTTATAAACTGTATAAATAAACAAAGGCAATTGATTTAGAATAAGTTTAAATACTTGTTATTTCATTGTCTCACTCAAAAGTTTCTGCTCAATACCAGGAAATGCTAAAAGATCTCTTCACAGAATAAGAGAATTCTTAAGTTCTGTAGGTTGCCCTATATTTACCACTGATATAACACCATGATATTCTTGATAATATCACAGGTTTCAACTTTCAGGTTTGTTGTTTATGGAGCATATTTTTCCAGTACCTGTGATAAACAATCACAATTTCCTAATTACTTAGGAAACTGTGATAGCTTATGGGTGATAATTATGAATGCTTTCATGTCACGTCAGTTGTAAGAATTTACAAGTGACAACATATATGTAATCATCAAAATTATGAAAATATATAAAAATAAAAGGTACAATCAGAAACTATATTCTGATATAAATAAATATAAACTTCTAAATGACAATGCAAGTAAAGATTAATTTATGAAATGTGACCCCAAAGCCTAAATAAATGCAATATTTTTTTAAAAAAAATTAAATTATGTATGTGTTGGTATTAATGGACAAACTTAGATGTTATACAGCTACACAACTTGCGTCTCAAAAGTCCATCATTTTGTATTGATTTAGTAGAAATGGCTGCTTGACAAGTAATTCAAGAGTTGTCATTAGGAGTTGAGTTTACAATACTTTCTCCTTTTCTGAATCTGTTCATGTTAACTGATATTGTATTTCACAACACCCAATGCCAAGTCATCAATTCACTTGATGCTGTCAGTTCCATGTTCTGAAAAATATGTAGGTGGATGGGAGTGGAGCAGTGGAGTGAAGTAATCCAGGCTTTGCTTTTCACGTATTATCAATCTGAACAGTTTCTGAAAATTCATAATGAACATAGTTGACTAATCTAATGAATTGGGTTTCTCATAATGCCGTTTGATAAGCAATTGGTTGTCATTCAGCTATCCTAGAAATTCCCAGATGATGCAGTGTCATCGTTTTTAAAAATGTCACCACTTTCCTTTCTCATACCCATGGATTTGTTTGAAAGTCTTCCATTTAATAGTTAAAGTTCTAGTATGCTTGTGAGGATCAGTTGAGGAATTGGTGTATGACTGTTCGCAGAAATATTATACAGATAATTTTATGGTTTCCACCAATGTTTGTACTCATAGGCTCTTTCTTAGAAGATATCCCTAATGGCACATCCATTCATTGGGCCCTCTAGATATTAAACTATAAATATGTGATACACATAGCCATTATTTTTACAAAATAAACTTATAATATGTGAAGCATCTGTGAAAATTAGAGGAGAAGTAGCTTGTAAAAGGGGCCTGTTGTATGCTTTCAGAATAATTGGAATCACATCAGAATTAAACAATTATCTGACCTAATAACCCTTGCTATTCAGTGGAAAGGTTTAGTCATAACCTAATCCTTCATAAAACTCCATCATACAACAAACTAATTCTGTAACATTGGACAACATTCATATTTTCATATGAAGTGGTCTCTTGCTGTCCTCCTTCCTTGTATCTTTTAACTACATCACAAGAATCTGTTCCAGATTATCCCGTAATCCTTCAGAAGAGGTTAGAGGAAGAGAAGAAGCACGCAGTATCATTTGTTTAACAGATAAATATGGCTGATCCCGTCCATTACCTTCTCAGTGGATTCACTTACTATTGTCTCCATATCAACTTTTCTCTTTGACAGTGATAGATGCTGTTGTTATTTTATTTTTTGGCTTTTACTTTTCCAAGCTCTGTTTTTTGTTTTTTTAAAAAAATATTTTGGTTTTGGCTTCTTTATCTAGCATGGGGTTGTTGTTTGAATCCTTTTGAAGTTTCTCTAGTGAAGTGTTTGCCACCCCAGTTCAGACATTGCTTGCATTAAAAGTTCAAAACAAACTCCCAACAATAGCAGATGAAAATTGTAACCATCTAACATCTGCAAGAAGGAGGGGGTCCCAAAGAAAAACTATTAAAGTCACTATATACGGCAAAGAGAGAAAAGTTATACACTATCAAAGGAAAAAAAAACCAGTTTTCTAAAATCATTGTTTTGATACAAAATTTTATATTAAATTGAACTTTACTTTGTCTCTCAGATACGTATGGTAGATGAACATGAAGTAAGGGTGCATATGAAGTCTTTGGCTCACATCAGGAAAGGAACTTGGAGCTACCAAAAAGTCAGAGGTGGTGCCTATGTTTTTTTTGTTGCCATCTAATAAGTGCCCTGATTTATGCAGCCAAGATTCTCTACAGGTCTGTGGCTCAGATGCTGGCATGCAATTTAAATGGATCAAGATGACCTCTTCTTCCAAACATGAGACCACAAGAAGGAGGGTAGTCTACCTGGTACTTTGCAGATGATTTGGAGTATAATGCACAAAATCCCAACCATTGACTAGCTCAAATAGAACTGATTCATTTGGAAGTTTAAAACACATTATGTGGATTTTTATATATTAGTTTATTTATTGTTTACTTGAAGACATCATAACCTCATATGGGAGCGGGTATAAATGAAGGGGATAGCAATCCCTCACCAGAAAAAGTTGATCAAATTGGAGAACACCAAATATTCATCTTTACCAAATGATATCATGTAATGGCATGGAAAGATTTTGTAACCAGCAATGAACATTTCTGACAGAGAATAAGAAAGAAAGAATTACACACGAACCTAACAAACTATGTTGCATCCATATCTTATTTTTCATCTATAGAAATTTTTAAAGTGCTTCCGAATTTCCATGCCACCTCAGAAAAGGTAAAGCCAAAAATCTTCCATCTTTAGATTTATCTGAATTTGACTCCTGCATTATTTTCCATAAGACAAACTGCTGATTTTGCATCCAATATGGCAAGCAAAATTGGACAGAATATTTTTTACCAATTGCAAAGTCAATTAAGTTCTTATCAGATCTACAAAAAATTAAATCATACTGTAATTTCTTGAGAGTTCAATATACTTGCACTAATAAAGAAAGAACAATTTATGAGAGCAAATGTTTTCTAGGGTTTAGACATATTTTGTCATTATTTTTTCTTATGTGTGTGATTCTATTGTTTTTCTGTTTGTGTAGATTTGTAAACCTCTGTGGCATAGTATTTGAACAAAAGTGTGAGAATAATTTTAGTTTTAAAAAAAGGTTTTAATGCATTATTTGTGCCTGTGTCAAATACTGTTTTATTTCTGATGAGATTTTCTTGAAAAAAATGTTTTGCTGCAATAATTGTTTATCTGTATATGTTTATGATACTTGTTGCCAGATGATTAACCTCTTAAGCCTTCTCTAGTAATGGTAGAAGATGATACCTGTCAACATGTGGCACAAATAAGTTAAATACTAAATGCTAAATTTAGATTTATGCCCATTCTGATTAGATATTGGAGTACCAAGTCAAGCTTTTGGAATTCTGACATGTGATTGTAGGTGACATCCTATCCTAAGGCATTTGTTATTTAGTGACATTTCCTTGAACATAAATTGTGTAGTTGGGATTACCCTATAGAAATATTAGCATATTCATAAATCAAAGCCAGGAAGTAGAGAGATGTATTTCCAAATTTTAAATGTTTTAATATTTCGTTTTTGGAAAATTATTCCATATTTAGCATATCAGTAGGAGAAATGAGTTATGGGAAGTATGGTTTCTGTTTAGGGTGAAGTGGGATTATTGTACTTCCAGGAAAATCTTCAGGACAGTTTAAAAAGTTACAATAGTGACTGTTACACATTTTAAAACCGGTGTGTTTTTGACATAGCAGATATAGACATAACTGCCAAAATAAATTATTTTACCCGCACCATATGAACAAACTGGTATATTTCCAAATGTTAAACCCTTTCCCCACTTTCCTTCGACTATTCTTACCATCACAACTCTCCAATGGAAAAGTTGAACTTATTCAAATCTATAAGATACCTAAAGGGACACATGTTTAGTTCTTGATAGCATATGTTAGTCAATGCTATTCTGTGTAAGAATAAACATTTCTTTTAAAGTTAAATTAACATTGGATCAATCATACATATGCACTGGGTCTATGTTCAGCCTTGTTAGAATTATTATGAATAAAAGATGACTTACCCCAGAGCTGTACCCCCTAACTCCAAATGCAACCCCCAGAAAACTTAGGTAGGGTCTATAGTGATCTCAACTTGTTACCAAACTGAAGATATTAATGTGACTTTAAATACATGACTGGAAAGGATAATGCTACTTATATTTAAATAATTAAGTGTAAACTTAATTTGTCTGCCCCTTATAATTTTGAAATTGCCTCAATGAACTACTTAGAGACCAAGGGCAATCCCCAACTCAAAATAAATTGCCCACTTCTGATTTGGGGTAACAGTTTTTGAGGGGAAGGGAGGGGAATAACCGGCTTTTAAATATTTATAGATTTTTCATGGAGTGTCTTTTCACAAGAAGAGAGTTCTTCTGGAATGTATCCAAATTCATCTGGTCCAAAGTATGCATTGAGTCAGCAAAAGCTGTAGCACTTCCTGCTAAAATTAAGCAACTGTAGATAATCAGCACCTAATTCAGCAACCATTGGGAACCTGTATGAAATGCTGAATTTTCTAGGATTGAAAAGGATATGTCTATACAAACAGGTATATGCCAGCATGATAAGAAGGTATCAGAGGGAAAATGCTAGGTAGACAAGCAAAGTGGTTTATGGCCTTCAGATTTGTCTGCTGCCTTCCAATGCACTGGAAGATGCTGTCTTTTATAGCAGGAATCCCCAACCCCCGGGCTTCAGCCCACTTCCAGGCCATGGTTTTTTCTAAACTCGGCCACCTGAGTGGCAGGCCAGCAGGCATGTGCACGCGTGCAGCTCAACTTGCACGAGTGGCAGACTAGCATGTGTCCACATGCAGACGCAGCTCAATTTACACAAGTTGAGCTGTGTGCACATGTGCACCAGCCTGTGCACGCAGCACTTCCACAAGTTGCGATGTGCATGCATGCTCAGGTGCTGACACACTGCTCAGGTGCCCCAGTTCTCATCTCCTCCCTCAGCTGGGCTGCCAAGCCACAAAGGTTGGGGACCGCTGCTTTACAGGCACCAATCAACTATTCAAGGAATTTATATCTGTGCATCCCAGACAATGGCGACTTGATTCAATCCTTTACAAAAAGCTGTAACATGTCTTGGGCTAATCCTTTCTGAAATTGTTGCCCCTGTGTAGCTTTTTAATATTTCTTTTCCCAATGGGCACTTATTTTTTCCAGTCCAAGCTCAGCCTCTTCATGAAGTAGGACTGATGTCTCCCCACTTACAGTCCCATATCTCCATAAAGGAAATGCTAGGGTGACTCTTTTTAGCATCAGCCCTGATGCCTCCATCTGAGGGGCCTAAGCCAAGCCATCACAACAGGGAGTCAATGTGGAGAACTGTGAGGTCTTCCACAGCCTCTGGAACATGTGTCTCTCCTGGAGCAGTGCTTCGAGCTTTTTAAAATGCATCACAAAATTTTAATGGATTAAAATTTAGAATAAATTTAGAATTTATTCAAAATGCGGAATAAATTCTAATAGCGTTTTAATAGAAATACCAAGGCTCTGCAACAAAAAAAAATTGGATGAAAATACATAGTTGGATACAGGATGTAATAGGCTTCCAGATAGAATATATACCAGAATTGTTTCTTCTAGGAATAATGAAAAAGAAATATGAAAAAACGACAACATATATTATTCTATATATGACAATGGCGGCAAGATTGGCATTTGCGCAATGTTGGAGACGTTCGAACACACCCTCCAAAGATCTAATAATTAGAAAGATATTAGATTGCGCCGAGATGGATAAAATTACATTGGAACTGAAAGGACAGATGGATTCGGACTTTTACGTAATATGGGAGAAATGGTATAATTGGATTGAAGATAGAAAAAAAGGGAAATAACAGATAGTAGATTTTGTAAAATTATATAGAGTATAGGAGAATATTAGTGTGATGATATTTAAATGGTCACAGTCATGCACAAGAGTTGAATAAGAATTGTTAAAATCCAATAAAACTCAAATGAAAAAAAAAACAGAAATACAAGCAAAACAGGAAGAGAAGATCCCAAATATTGTTATGGAAATTGGGTCTTGAATGTGTAAGATTGTTGTTCCAAAAATGTTTTTCACCAGTCCTTTGTACAAGATGAAAATAAAAGTGTATTGAAGAGCAACATCAGAAAAAGGCTATATTTCTGATCTACATTTTTAGAGCCAAGCATTACAGCAGCTCATAGACTGCCTTTCTCCAAATGATCAGGTTTCCTGGCCTTCACAATCCCAGCTGAAACTTTCTACAGAGAAATGACTGTCTACTGTCTATCTGCACATGGTTTTGGACTATAGATCTCCTAATTCCTGAACATTAGTTGTGTGATAGGAATTTTATATCCCCGTTTATATCCCATGTAATACATTAATGGTTTTTTCTCTAGCAATGTTTCCCTATCCTGTTGGAACAATATACTGCTTTGTCACAGATGCAGAAGATAAAGCGCTAGGACTAATGTTATTAATTAATGTTCTTAATGTTAAAGGACACAGTCTGCTGCAGGGAGATTCTCTCCACCGCCCCCATCAATACTGGAAGGATATTTTTCCTCTTTGTTGTTAGACCTAATTGAAGTCTTTGTTGAAACTGTGGGAATCAATGAGGTCTGGATAAAAGAACAAGAGATTTGGGTTCTGGGGTTGGTTCTGCCATTTATTTACTATGTGACTTTTACTGTTAATTGAATCTCTCTGCATCATTAACAAATGTCTGTGTTCTTAAGACAATGTGTTTGTTTACAGTCTTCTGTATGAAAGCAAAGACAAAATGTCTTCTTTGTTCTCTGCAGCAAAAGCCTCAATGGTGATAGTTCAAGTACAAATAAGTGTAGTTTCTGAAGTCTTCTCTAGATTCTGCAACTAACCCATAAAAAAAAAAAGGACAGGGAGTTTATATGAATTATAATCAGCCCATACGACTGATATATTTGCAGTTCCCTTTCACCATTTGTGTAATGTCTAGTGTTAATTCTCATAGTATGAGAACATAGTATGAACGAAACATAATATGGACTAAAAATATAAGGGGGATGAGGCATTAGTAGGGTTCTTCTATGACTCAGCTAGAGGAAGCAGGTTGCAAGAATTTTGATGCCAGTGGTATGGAAGATGAGTTCTAGAAAGAGACTAAAAAAACACAAAGGATTGGAGATTAATTAGAATTAGAAATGTTTTGCACAACTGGTGGACCTCAGTTTAAGGGAAAGGTGAAGCAGAAATTTGTCATCAAGTACTAACTAGACTATAAAGTTGACAGGGATGTCCAAGGTGTGCATGTGTCAAAATCTGCAGGATGCTGAACATGGTGTTATGAGCAGAGTTTTACCACTTTTGTACTTGTAGTAGTATATCAGTTTTGAAATGGGTAGCTATATAAATTGAATCAAATGAATAAATAAAGTGTGGGATTGCAGTTATGGCATTACACCTAAGTTCTTTCTCAGGTACCCATGACAATTGAAAGTAAAATTGGGTAACTTCTGGGTAACTTCTACAAAAATAAAGGAGGTTTCTTCATATGCCAGCATCACCAAGTTGTCATGCTGCTCCAACAATGAAATAACAAGGCCTGCCCATTTTCTATGAATAAGAAATCAATGAAATTAAAACAAAACAAAACCAGAACTTTGTTTTTGTTTTGTTTTGTTTTGCAATCTTGGCATGGCTAAATCCATCCGAAACCTCCAGAAATTTTGTAGTGCAGAATAAAGGTATAGTAACTAAGTTTCTCCATGCTTCTGACTTTTTTAAAAAAATAAAATACTAATAAATATTAAATTATTTAAATATTAAATTATTTAAATTGTGTAAGCTAGTTTATGTTTCTGGATTGTTCGTAGGCTGCCAAAATTCTCTTGTGTGTGGTAGAACATGACACAGAAACAGACTGAAGATAGGAATTGTTTATCTAGAACAAATATATAAAATATCTGTCAAAATCAGTGCAAGGTTCTACAATAGTATAGCTGGAGAATCCAGATGCATGCCATATGTAGGTTTTATTGTTTTTTTACATACATACTTGATTAAGATAACAACCATATAAGTTTGCAAATAAATAAATGAACAAACAAACAAACAAGCAAAGCAGGTGCATCTGAAAGATTAACATTCTGCTCACCATATTTTCTTTTTTTGTCACGCTATTTTATAAATAAGGGGTTTTTTTTATCCACAGATAAATAAACACATAAGAT